CCAACCTCATAGAAAGCTCAGGCTGAGGCAAGCCCATAATTCATGTTTCACAAGGACAATCCATGTGATGGAAAAGCAACCTTTGAGAGGATTTTGACCTGCACTTAACTAGCAATGAAAGCATAATTTAACACTTCAGTAACAAAACATGCCAGGCTCCACAGGCATCAGGACTCTTGACTTTCAATTTTCCAGACATTTTGGAGTTATGTAATGACCTAGAAAAAAACTAATTTCTTGAAGTTATGGTACAGATAATACAGTTCCAACTACGTAAATAAGAATTAAGGGTTTCAGTCAGACCAAAGGTCTAACTACACCAGATCCCCTAGGAACAACGACTTCCAGTGTTTAATTCTGTTTTGTGTGAGCAAGTCTTCCCTTTTGTTTTAAAGTTCATCATGATTAACTTTATGTCTCTTTTACTTATTTTGTTATGCAAAATACAGGTGGAAAGCCTGCTCACAGATTTCTTGAACTCAGCAAGAGTTTATAGTATGATTACCCTCTCCATGTCTACCCAGCTCATGTTACCACTGTCCCAAATGTGTATTATCAAACATCATGTCAGCTGTTGACTGGTCTAGAGTACAGGCAGATGATGTGTTTTTCAGCAGTGTCAGGTATCAGATTGGATAGAAGGTAGGAATCAGAATTCTGTCTGATCTTTGGACGTGACATTACATATAGTCACAGAGAATCTGCAACACTTTGTCCACTGAGCTCTTGACCTTACCCATTTTCCCTCCATGGTGTCATTAAATGAACTACAGTTCATGGAAACCCAAGCACAGGGCTGTAAAGAAGATGTAGTGTCTACCTATATTTCCATTTCTCAGACTGATGGCATGTTTTGAGAAGGCTTTGCATTGTAGTGTCGCTGAATATTCCCCTGAGAACACAGGTCTTTACAGACACAAATGGAAAAGAACTTTCCCCAAATAAACTAACAGCCTAAGTGGGGATGCCTTAAACACAAACAGGCACACTACATCCTTTAACAACAAATAGTTGTGAGATAAGGCAAAGCAGGGGGTATGCTGTGTTTGTATATCCCAAAAGTTCAAGTAGAAGTCAGAGGAATGGTAAAAATAAAGACATATGCTTGATATACAGAGTAGGAAGGAGAGTGGATCACTTACCTCCAGAGTAAATCCACTCTTTTGGGTCAAAAACTTGTTCCATAACAATTACTGTTATGACTGTTATGATTCAGTCAGAAAATTCCTGCTCTCTGCCCCAAGAATTTCACAAGCTAGTTGCAGTTAGTCAGTGGCCACGTAGACACCACATAAAACATGAGCTATACTAGCATTATAAACCTTTCTGTGTAATAAATCTATTTTGATCCCTTTTGCACGGTGATAAAGGTTTCGTACTCCATGACATTACACCAGACCTGAGTTAGCCCACACAAGGGATGGGTAGTCTATGGCCAGTAATCCCTACTCTCTTAACACAAAAATAAATAAGAAACAGGAAGAAACTAGAGGACTGAAATCAGAGGGGAGACCCTACCACACAAGGTAACAGATAAATAGACTGTTATTCCTTCCAGAGATAGAGAGGAAGTTAATCAATAGAAAATGGTATTTCACAGAGTGTCCGGAGCCAAAATGCTTTCCTGAAATATCTCTCATATGAAGTATCTCTCCTTCAGGATTCAGCCTAACTTCTGCTGCACCATAGCTGTATCTCTCTTTGACCTGCAGAAAGTCTTCAAAGTTTGGGATCCATCCCAACCACACATAGCTCATCAGCCTGGCGTGTTTTGAAGTGTGTAGCCAGCAGAGGACAGGAGAAAGCCAACACCATCTCTTACACCAGCTAGCCAGGGGACCATGCACACCACTGGCTCAACAAATGTGGCTGTCAGTACAGGCATGAGGCCCATCTTGAACTCACAACCAGGCAAGAACTGCTTCAGCCACTGCTACATCCTCTCCTCAGAGGTCCAGGTGGTGGATCCCCTCTCTGAGGGGTTCAGCCTCTCTGAGACTCGGAGGCTGCACACAGTGGACAACAAAGGATATTACTGAGAGTTTTCCACTCAGCCTCCTTCAATCTTGCCACAGTTTTTACAGGCTAAAATTACAGATTTTGCATTATGTTTTGTCATGAAAACCCAACGAAGACAGTGATTCAGAAAGAGAAGATGTCCGATTGTTTTCAGGCTTAACTTCCTGAAGAGAGATTTTTTCCCTTTGGTTTATTTATTTATTTTCCTTCAAGTGTAGCCTGAACCCTCCCTTCCTGTTGGTAACAACAGCAGCAGCATAGGGCATCGGTTTGCCAAGCCTGAATGATTGTGAAATATCATTTCTCTTGGAGCAAGGTAGTATCAAAAAGAACAACCATGGGGGCCTGACTGAATTCATTACATAGTTGTGCTTAGGAGGAGTAGGCTAAGTGGCAGTATCAGAGGCAACAGAGGTCCCACTTCTGAGCTAACACTCTTGGACCTGAAAGGACTGTCACATCTGAAAGCACTACTACAACAAAAAGCAAATTTTGGTTTCCTTGCTCAGAAAAACACTCTGAGCTTTCAAAGGTTAGAGATACAAAAGTATTCACCAGGGAACATGGTGGCCCCAGAAGATGAAGTAATTGGCTGATGAAAGCCACACGGCTGACACAGACACTTCCCATCATACCTGCATTATCCCACAGATCTGGTGGATGCTGCATGAATGCCACAGCCCTTAGATAAAAAATGCTTTCAGCTAATCCTTCTGTTATCTTCATTCATTTGCCTTTTTGTGGGACTTTTTTTTTCCAGAAGCAACCACTGTATTTAAAGTTCAGGAGAGAGTTCAGACAAGCTGGAAATTATCAATTAATGATACATTTTCACCACCACCACTCCACTCCCATCTTTTGCTCTGGGTTACTTTGGTGCTTCCTGTTTAGTAGGAGCAGTCAACTGAGGGTTGGGGCAGGCAGAGCACTGGGATGCTCTTTGTTTTGTGCCCTGGTCTCAGGCTCCTCCAGAAGCATGCTGGGCTCTGTGGAGCTGTCATGTTCACTTCCTTTTTCAACCTCACATATTTCCCATTAATGATGAGAGGGAAAGGTCAGGGAGGGTCTCTTTAATGGCCCACTTGAGGGCAAGCAACAGCCTTGGATGGTTCTCTGATTTCCTGGGAACCTCAGTCTATTCAATAAGCAAAGAAAGAAGTCCTAAGAAAAGTGAAGATTCCAAGGTGTTAGAAGGGACTTTCCCACATAGGCTTGCCAGGCTCTGCCAGGATCCTCTTATGTAAGCTTGGGTATAACTCTCATGATTTTGGTGGTAGGAGAGTAGCCTTAATAAGAACAAAGAACACAGATGCAGGACCTGTTGGACAGATGCACTAGGAGCTAAGTGGGCTCAGTTTAGGGGAGCCCACTTGGGTGCCTGTATGCCATTTTGAGCAGTCCACCACAAAACTCCTGGGAAGGGACTAGACCACTGGCAGTAACATAATGAAGGCATCAGTACCTTCCGTCCTTCAGTTCAGCTGCAGCATCTAAGAAGTCTTTTCTTGACAGCAGTTCTGAAATTTCTCAGAGATTGGGATGATGAAATATTTAAATGTAATAACATGACAACGATTCTCATGCCTTAGGACAGAAAGCCCCAATTTTACCTGTGCACACTGTGCTTCAGATATAGAAGAAGTAATAAATAATATGCCCATCAGTATTTTCATGGAGAAACTATCTGTTGCAAATCAATGTAGTGCTATAGAGTTGAAGCCAGTGGAGCAATGTCAGGAGTTTTTGCTCTTTGTTTTGTGCCTTGCTTTGCTCCGTCTATCACTAAATGTTCCAGGGCTCTCTACCACAAGCCCAGAATGTGGAAAACGCTGACCGAAGTAATTTACTGTATCTGTGCTCACAAACAAGCTGTTATTTGTCGTTGGCATGTAAATAAGTCACCGTTAAACAAATACTGTGAACCAAGTTCACAGCATCGATTTCTTGTAGGTCACTGAGATGATTTCGCAGAAATATCCTGCAACAGTTTTGCAAAACAGGATGAGTCTCAGCCTGAAATTCATGACTGTTTTTTTCCACTTCTATTCCAACGGTTACTGTGTTTTTGCTGTCACAGATGAGCAGTTAATTCATCCTGACTGGCAGAGACCAGGAAAATGGAAACTTTGTCCACTCTTCTTAGTGTCTAAGACATATGCATTATAAATTACTTGTATTTTGGTACAACCTAGAAGTCCTAGCCCATGTCAGCTGCAGACTGACTATGTATGCACACTTAGAACAACTACATACCACTGATCGCAGCATAGCATGCAGATAGCAAACAGATAGCTTTAAATGGTAGAAAAATGAATGAGGAAGCTGGTAGCCTAGTCCAGGCTGAAAAACTTGCTGTGGTGTATGAGTAAATTGACCCATGCAGATCAATAAATATATCCTATTTATAAACAATGCCTCCCTGCAGATTAAAATAAAAATAGCAAAACTTGGAGGAAATCAGTTGTATCACTGAGGCAGATATTAAATGCTTTGCTCAAAGTACCATAGGAAGCCTGTGTCAGAGCCAGGACTGGACTTACTTGTGCCTACAGCCACAGGTTCCTCCTGTTCTGAGCACAGTATAGATTCATGTTATATGCTGACATAACTACGCTGACCTAGTAAATGTCATTCGCAATTTTCACCTGTTAAAAGGACAGAATCAGACTGTGAATGTTAAGGGTGCTGCTGGGCAATGAAAATTGAAAGCCCTACTTCCAATCTCTGATAACAGGCATTTTAGGAAGGGAGTCAGCAGCAAGTTTTGCACTTAATATCAACAGCAGTGAGTAGGGGTTTGGGAAGCGAATCTAATAGGTGCCTCTAGATTTGGCTAAGAATGAAAAGAACATTTTCTTTCCACTGGTTGCTGGCTAGTAAAAGCAAAGGGGTGGAATACATCCAACTTGCGAAACTTGAATACAGTTACTGCTATCTGCAAATGGGTGCCCCTCCCCGCTCATGTGAGCTACACAGGCAAAAGAGAATGACACATGTGCTGTTTCCTTTTCCAGTTGTAAAAGGGTCAGGAGCCAGGCAAGGAGAGCCTGAACAAGAGGAGCATTTTCCTGGGCTCTTCCAGCTGTTCTGTTCAATCCCGCCGTCGGTTCTGAGCAGGGAAGAGAGACTGTCAACACAAATAAGGCATTTTTCAAAGGCGTAAATTATGAGTTACCAAAACAATACGACATCTCAACCACGTGAGTACCCTTATCTCCCCCCCTCCTTACAATAAGAGTGGATTTATCAGTCTGTCACTTAAGGAAAAGATTGTTTAATGCATTTCGTATGCAAAAAAGAGAAAAAGGGAAAAGAAAAAAAGAACGCCTGAGACTAATCCTGAAGAAAAAAAGCTGTGATGAAACTGTTTTCCTTTTTTATTCTTTGTGTTTGTGTGCGCGTGTGTGTGTGTGAAGAACTGAAACGGGCTCTGCAAACTCTGGCTCCTGAATAGGACCGAGCAAAGTTAGTAACATTTCCGCCTAAACCCTGGCTTAGAAAAGTTTCATTTGCATGTTTTTCCCTCCCCCCGCCTTCAGGAATGAAAATATAGAGCATTTCGAAAGTGTACTGACGCTTTTCTAAGATATTAATGGTGCTGCCCAACTTGTGTTTAGAGTCTCAAGCTGTCTGTGTGTAATATGAGACGCAAGCCACAAACTGACAGTCTATATTTAAAGCCACAATGTGTTTCAGCTCCTGGAAATTTAGAAACATGGGCTTAAGGACTAGCGAATTAGTTTCTCAGCAAGAGAGGGTACAGGAGGGCAAGTCCTCTGCTGGTGTAACTCTTCATATTTCAGTAAATTTGAAAAGAGGGAATTTGGCCCAAACAGGCAAGTGCGCACAGAGGGTCAGCTGCATCGTGGTAGTGTTCATTTTGGGACAGTATTAAAAAAAGGGAGGAGAAGGGAGTGGATTCTGATTTGATAAGAAGGGAAAAGTCAATGGGAAAACTCTGAGGTTTCAGTGATGCAATAGCTCCATATCTCTTCCATGGCTTTAGTAAGGTCTTTCCTGGTTTAGTTCAAGACAGTAGCTTTGCATTATTTTTAATAACCAAACAGCCAATAGCAGAATTATTTATAATACGGTGGTATCAGTAATGAAGGCAGAAAGTACAGATGGCAGTGCTGGGACCTGCCTGTGATTCAGGATTTGATCCAGAGATTTCTGTAAGAATATTTGTTCTGTATGGATGTTGACACTGAAATGTTTCCCAAGCTTTGAATAAGGCAGGCTGATCCAGCAGAAATGACACAGTGAGCATCATATCTGAAATCCCGACCAGTAATTCCTAATTACCCTTTAGTCCTTTTTGCAAGTTCTAACCAACAATAAAGATTAGATGCTAGCTTTCTGTTCTTTTTTTTTTTTTTTCAGCAGTTTAGAATATTATAGTTTGGTTTTTGCTGTTTCTGTTACAGTTTGTTTTCTGTCATTGATAGGAAAGAAATACGCAGGCTAATTCAGGATTCTGAAAGTCTGGGTTTGGGAAAACTTGAGTAAATTACTATTATTGGTGCTCTCCAAGCCTGTGCAGAAGGATGGTCATGACTCACGGAGGTGCATTTTGCTCATTGTGCAATATCAACAAGGCTCCAGGCTCAATCATGTATCTTTAGTAACAGGCTTGGCCAGGTGACAAGTCCAGGACCAGCTCTACAGTTCTGAATACATTGCAAATCACTTCTCTGGCAGACCCAGGCTGTCAGAGGACACTGGAGAAGGCCCTAGGCTGGATCTGGATGAAGAGTTAGTATGCCTTGGGGCCTTTTGTCTGTTCATAACAGAAAAAGTCTGATGCATCAGGTTCTCTTGTTTGTTCCAAAATCTGGGTAGGAATTCTCATCTTGATACAATTTAAGGTCATATAAATGGCTTGCAATCTAGCTAGAAGAAGTATACTGACTGAAAAATAGTGACCATCTATGCTTTAATTGCTCTCATAATTTCCATTACTAATTCAAACAGAATGTTCCTGTATTTTTTCTCAGTCTTTGGGGTTTTTTTTGTTTTGTTTTGTGTTTTTTTTTAGTTACATGGACAAATTTACAGATTAAGAAAAACATTGAATCAGAGGGAAATCTGGTATAATATTCCTTTTATAATGCAAGTTTGATGCGTTGCTTTTATGATGGCTAAGGTTTTGGGGTAGGTCTTGGGGAAAAGGGTCTTATTTCTTATTAAAATTCCATCAATTTCTGAAAGAAACAAGCTATTGTAAGATCAGTCTATTGACAGGCACTATACAGCATGGACAGCATATATTTGCCAGAGAGGCAGAGTAATTGGGAATATGAATTTGCTTCATAACCATAGTGAGAATCTTTGAAATGGGTGTGAAAATGCATAAAGAAACAACAAAACCTTTGACTATACTGAACATACTAATCCTTTGCAGAGTACCTGGGGGTGAGACCACAAAGCAGCTGCCTACTGATGTAAACTGAACAGTGTTAAATTACCTAATTGCTGATGTTCTTCACTTATCTCCTTGTATTTGCTCACAGCCGATAAGGATTTTTTATTCATTCTATAAATACAGTATGATCCTGGCAATCCAGGTGGGAGCAAAGTACTGTTTCAGATTTAAGATACTCAACTCTGTGAACCCTGCCTCTATACAGGGATGCCATACCATCTAACCTCAGGCACTTCCCATGCCCATCTCAGATATCCCATCACTCTTAGTAGACTCTGTATACTCAGCAGAGGCAAGGGAGCCAGTAATTCAGCCTGCTGCTGTTAGGCAGCGTATGTATATTTACTCCATCATTCATTGCTAAAGGACATTTGTGTGTGGCTGGAAAAAAAATGGAATACTTAAGTAAAGAAGTCTGCTACCAAAGCCAAAAATGGAGCTGGGCTTAAATTTTATTGGCCCAGTTTGAATACAACGTTGTGCTGTGAATATATCTCCAGTTTCTTTTTTTTTCCCCATCTTATTAATATTATGATATAAAAGGGATCTAGCCTGACTGCAGGAATGTGAGCTTCCTAATTTTTCACTGCATCACTTCCATCTCTGCTCAGATATACAGGCAGTAGCTGCCTGACTTACTACAAAATCTGAGGGATTCCACAGGTTTGGCAATCTCTGTTCAGACTGCAGCTTTCATCCTCTTCCTTTTAGACTGCAGTGACCCAGTTCCAAGGCAACAGGACAGCTCAAATGAAGTGAAGGACTCACGCAAATAAATGTCACCAGGTCAAAGGTTTGGTCTGGGTAGGCAGTGATCTATGCAAAGCTGTCTTTAGGGGTCAAAGGTGTCCATCCCCTCGAAGAAAGCGTTGTGCACCTTACAGGATTTAATCTGTACTGGGCACACTGGGAATGTTTTATCTGGGCCTCATACTCCAAATGCCATCTGTCAAAGGAATTAGTGGTTAAGGACAGCAGTTTTTGGAGGCTTCTCTTCCTCACCACCTACCAGCAGATAAGGTCTTCCTTCTGAGTGGGCAGGGAAGCAGTGTGGTCGTGCTGTGTAGAAGAATTGTCCCAAAAGGAGGCAAGGCTGGGCTTCAGTCCAGCTGCAGAGAGGAGGAGGGTCAGGAGCAAGGTGAAGCAGCGCAAGCCGTGTGAGCTGTGTGCGTTCCATCCCCATTGCCAGCTGTAGTTCGGCAGTAGCCCAGGCGCAGGCCCTGCCCTGCTCCCAGGGAGCAGACCCTGGTGCTGCCCCTGTCCCACAGGAGGTATCAGTTCCATCGTGCCCAGCTTCTCCACCTGCTGCAATGACAGCCAGGGCTTCTGACAAAAAGAGACAAGTACGTGTGGGCTGTCCCCTCCAAGGAGGCTGAGAGCCCGGCAAAGGTGGCCCCTGATAAAGACAAAGCAACAGCTATGAATGGCAAGCGGGGTTCTGAGAACAGCCTTGCTCCATCTTTAACTCATTGTGAGATGTACGTTGGGACTGCAAAATGATCCTTTAAATGTTCCTGGAGTAATACCACTTACCTTTCACATGGGGCCTGCAAAAAGCCACAAATGATCCCTGTAGACTTTTAATCATGTTATTCACTGCCTTGGCAATAGCTTTGATTTCATTGTCCTTAATCAACAGAAGCGCTTGTCTGTGACAGTAACTAATAAACAAAAATGAAGGCTATTGATTATGAAAATTTTGGTCTTCACTGGTAAACCTGTGAGCATTTATAAGCAAGGAAACCTATAGATCATAATAACCTTTCATTTTTAGCACAGAAGTCTCAGAATGTGTCCCACAAGCATTTATGTAAATTGAATGCCTCTGCTTATATATTTGTCTCCCACCACTGTGCATATGAAATGGAAAATTTGGCTTTATACCCCAGGGCTCTCCCTGACACCCTCATGAGATGTTGATGTGAAAGTCTGCAAATTGAAAGGATCAGAATGTACCTGAAATTTCAGTAATTAACAGAAGATATGTTGGCAAACTGCTAAGATGGAGGGAATGGGGGGGATGTCCACCCAAACAGGATTCTGCTTTTTTAAAATACACAGTTCTCAGCATTTCTGGGCACTGCTTTTCACCAAAAAAAAAAAAAAAAAAAAGCTGATTATTTATACAGTAGACATTAAAAATTCAGGTTATGGCTGGTTATGTGCTTAAGCCTATTAGTATTACAGAATTGTGCGGTGTCTGCATCTCATTGCTGATACTGCTGCACCTTTCTTTCTAGGCTCTCATGGAATATACGCTGTATCCATCACTGTTCAAATAACTGAGTCCAATCAGCAAAGCCTTTTGTAAAACAGGCTTTCAGGACTGCATTCTCTAATGAAAGTCTGTTTGTGTGTCTGCTCTGTGGAGTGCCTGTCTCTATTGTTGGGGAGGGATTAGTATTCCTATAGCATAGAGAAATTCAAGCCAACAGAGGGATCTGATTGTGCTAGGTGCTGTACAGGCACCCTTTCTTCAAAAGGCTGTTAGACTACATAGAGAGGACAGATTACAGGTAGGAGAGAAATGATGGCTTTTCAGGGGCACTGCTGGAGATGCAGATTTTGGCTATGGGAAGGCATTTATAGCAGCCAGGAGGTAGGAGTTAGTAAAGATTCCGGTAGATCCACTGGGGCAACAGTTCTTTGCTTCCCACTCTCTAATTTTGTAATGCATGTTTAGGAAAAAAATGTAGCTCAGAAGTAATTTAGCAATCAGGCTATTTGTTTCCCACAGAAAGATCAGAAAACTTAAACATGGCATTTGGACTAGCT